TCGGGGATCTTCTGACCCGGGTCAATCCAGACCTGGGTCAGGCAGGTTGTGCAGGACCCTGCAAGATCCTGCAAGATACTGCAGGATCCAGCGCCCAAACCCAGGTCAGTGCACCCCTGGCCCTGCAGGATCCTGCAAGATCCGGCGCTCTGACCGACCTCAGTTTGCATTGACCCCCGTCTCTTGAGCCCCGAGGCCCCCGAACCTGGAACCCTCTGGCACACCGCGCCGTCGGTGGGACAGCGGTCCTCCAGGTGCTCCTTCGAGCGCGCCTCCGCCTCGCCCACCCACGAACGGGGCCGCCCCGCTCGGGGGGCGCCCGCGGGGCATGAGCGATCGATGTCGTCGACGTCGTCGACGTCGTCATCGATGTCGTCATCGTCGTCGACGCCGTCGTCGCCGTCGTCGTCGCCGCCGTCGTCATCGTCGATGCCGTCGTCGCCGTCGTCGTCGTCGCCGTCGTCGTCGTCGCCGCCGTCGTCGTCGTCGTCACAGTCAGCGTCATCGTCGTCGTCGTCATCGTCGTCGTCGTCGTCTTCGTGGCCGCCGTCGTCGTCGTCACGATCCCCGAATAACTCGGCCCGCCGACCTGTCCCGGGGAGCGTTCTGACGAGAATCTCGACGGGTACCCAGCCGTGGCTGCGAAGTTCCCTGGAGGCCCAAAAAGACATCCCGAAACCTCTGAACCGATTGCAGTCAACCCGTGTAACCAGGATGCGCGGTAAGGATGCACGGGCCTTGGAAGCCATGTTAACAGTTGTCGAACGAGGTTGGCCAGCGAACAGAAACATAAACGTTCTTCGGTCCACGCGGATTTTTTGCGTCGGCCCGGGGCCCCCCTCCCCACGGCCCCCCACCCCCGCACCCCTTCCCCCGCTCGTTGCGGGAAGGGTGGCCCGGCGCCGACCCCAAGAGATCCGCGCGGACCTCCGAGAGCGAATGCGAGTGTCGCCTTTTGCCCCCAGGCGAAGACCGAGCCGACGACGACGCCGTCGCCGTCGCCCACCGAGGGGGAACGATAGGGGTGGACTGGCCCAGGGAGGGAACATCGACCTAGAGTGGGCGACACATCGGCGATACGCCCACGATAAAGGAACTGCACGTTCCTGAGCGGGCTGGTTGTGTTACCCCCGTGAGCCTGTCCCCTCACGTATGCATTCCTGGCGTTCGGGTCATAACTTGGCTCTCTGGTGGTCGCTCGCGAAGAGTCGGGCACCCCTGGAACACTCTCGTCGAGGCGCAGCTGCTTGAACGCAGCCCGAGGTTGGAGAACCGCCGAGGGCCGACGAGAATGCCCGAAAGCTTCGAACCTGTATCTTGCGAAGGGGACACTCTTTACGTTGCGTCCCCCCTGAGCCTGTCTGGAGGCCTCCTAATTGGGGTCCCAATAGAGGGGGTCAAAGGATCGCGCCGCATGGTGAATGCATCGCCGATGCATCGGTGACGCACCGGCGACGTCTCGGACCCCATTTTCGGGCACGCGTTAAAATGGCTTAGGAATCCGTGGATCTGGCGAGGGACGAGAGTGCCAGATCCACGGATCGGGGAAAACAACGCCCGAAACATGGCGCCAATGCCGCCTCATTTCGCGATGGATCGCGCCGATTCTGTACGGAAGCGGGACCGGCGTCGCTAATCCACCCGTCTTTCGTTAAGAGCTTGACGACTTCTGCCTTCCCTCGACTCGCGCTGGACCAGACATGATTTTCTCATAATTTCCATGGAAATCTGTGGCTATAGCTGGGTTTGTTCGGACTTGACTTGATTTATCTGCATATACCTTGAATCATGCGGCTTATTGCCACTAGACGATTAGCGAAAAGTCGTCAAGCTATTAGGGACCTTACTCCATGCTTGTGCTCCCTGTTGGGGAGGTCTGGGACTGACTGCCCCCCCCGCCAGCCCCCCCCCCGGGCAGGAGCGCCCCAAATCGAGTCGACGAGTCGGATCGGCGATCGAAACGAATCGGATCGGCGGAAATCCGCCGCCGAATTGGGAGAAATCGCATCGGCAAAAAATTCGCCAGGCCAGCAGGGCTTCCGTGAAAATGAACCCGGCGCGACCCAATTTAGGGGAAAGCGTCCTATTGCATGGACGCAGTGCTCGGCATTGCCTTGCATTGGTTTGCATTGCTTTGCATTGCTTGGAATTTCGTGGCAATGCTTGGCATGAGGCACTCGGGGAGCCCAAGGAACCCAGGGAACCTCCGAGAACCTCCGAGCAACGGGCAAAGTACCCCCCCGAGGCACCAACCGTGATCCAAGTGCGAACCCCTTAGGCAAACCTGATTGGGGAAACAAATCGGACACCGGATCGGAGTTCGAGGCCAAACCGAAAAGAAGTAGGAGGCCACCGAAACCGAATCGAACCGAACCTGAGGAGTCGCAGCGAGCCCCCCCATCGGGTGCCCGAATTCTCTGGGATAACTGCGGTCTGGGGTGACTCCGGTCTGGGCCGCCGAGGCGCGAATGATCATTCCTGAGGGTTGGATAATTCGGAGGGCTGGACGCCCGAGCTATCCAGGACAAGTGCGGTGGGTGACTCCGGTCTGGGCCCATGAGGCGCGAGTGTGTATCTCCCCGACTGCCCCCGACCCTGCTGACTCGGGGCTCCGACCCCCCTGCGGGCGCCGTGGCCAGCTTCTGCTTCGCCTGGCCGGCGGCGGGGCGCGGGGGGCGCGCAGGCCCGCCGGGAAGCTCACGGGCAGAGGCGCGGCGCTCGCAGAGCTCCCCAGAAGCGCGCACCCGCGGCCCGGGGCGAGACGGAGCCCCCTGGAAGGCTCCCAGGGAGCCCCCCAGGAGGCCCCCCCACAGGGCCTCAATCCATGTCTCCTCTTCTTCCTCCTGCTCCTCCTGCTCCTCCTCCTCCTTTTTCTTCCTCTCCCAAATGTCCCCCCAAGGGGTTCCACAACGTTTGCTGGAACACACAGTCCGACAACTTGGCCAGACTTCGGCCCAACGTTTGGCCGCATCGGCACTTCCAGAGGACAGGGGGCGGCGGTGATGCGCCGTAGGCTTATTCGATCTACTGTGGGAGTGGTACAACGTGGCGCTCGCTTGACGGATTGCTTGTTTGCTATTCGTTGTTCAATTCCGCCTCGTGAAAGAGAGCCTAACGCGAGTCACATGATTCCTTTGCAAGGCCATGCAAGCTCGCATTTTGGCATGGGAAGAAAAAATTGGAGCCTCGACGAGCTGGTCATCCAACTGCTTCATCGTCGCCTGGGAATTCTTCCCTTCCCCCCGTTCATTCGATCATCCCTTTATCCAACCTCGCTCCTCCCTCCTCCTCGACTCCTCCTCCTCCTCCTCCCCTTCCCTCCTTATCTCCTCCTCCTCCTCCTCCTCGTCCTCCTCCGCTGCCTCCTCGCATCCCTTGCATCCTTCATGCTCATCCTCCTTGTTTAAGACTTCTCTTTTCGATCTGAAGATGTGGCTCTTCAAAATGGTGTTCCTGGTGCAGCGATGGCCTCGTTCCAGGATCGGCGCTTTGCTCCAGTCGGTGTCGCCCTCGTGTTTTCCCCTCCTTTGCCTTCCCCTAGTCTTCCTGCTCTAGGGAGTGGGCGTGTCCTCTGGTCCTGTGCCTAATCGCTGGAGCCTCAGTCCTCATTCCTGAGGAGGGCCCGGACCCTACATGCTCAAATCTACCAGGACTTCTCGCGATTCCCCCAGATTCCCCTGCGACTTCCCGCGTGACTAGTTTGGGCTCAAGAGGGCCCCAAGACGGGCCAAGAGGGACCCAAGAGACCGCCAAAAGAGTCAAAGAGGGCCCCGAACCACCGAACGATCGCTCCAAGACGCTTAAGATGGCCCCCAGACGGCCCAAAAGGCCTCCAAGACGCCCCAAGAGGCCTCCAACATTTTTCTTCCTCAGGTTCCAGTTCCTCAGGTTTGCTCAGGTTCCTCAGGTTGGGGTATGTTACTTCTGTTGGTTTTCTGGAAAGAGCGCTCTTCCATCTGAGTCGCAACGCGCCCCTTGGCCAGCAAGGCCTACCAAGGAGGCGGACCCCCGCTCCCATGATGTTTTTCAACGACTCAATGCCACCACTACAACTCACAACGCAGCTGCCGCTACCACTGCAGCTACAACCGCTATGTTATCATTCGCGTGTCCTCCCGTTCCGAGTAACTTTCAACTTGAGCCAAGTTGGCGTTGAACCAAAATGGCTCGGACAAGCAAGGGGAAAGAGGAGGGAGTAGGAGTAGGAGTAGGAGTAGGAGGAGTAGGAGGAGGAGGAGGAGGAGGAGGGAGGAGGGAGGAGGAGGAGGAGAGGAGGAGGGAGGAGGAGGAGGAGGAGGAGGAGGGAGGGAGGAGGAGGAGGAGGAGGGAGAGGAGAGGAGGAAGGAGGAGGGTCACATTTACGCGGGCGCGAATGTGCAATTGTTCGCCCGAGGAGGAGGAGGAGGAGGAGGAGGAGAGAGGGAGGAGGAGGAGTAGGAGGCGGCGGTCACTCAGCGAGTAAAACAAACCTCGAACCCTGACCACCTCCGAGAAGATGGAGGGACAGCAGCAGCACCAGCATTAGCAGGAGGAGGAAGAGGGGGGATGAGGAGGAAGAGGGGAGGAAGAGGAGGAGGAGGGAGGGGAGGAGGAGGCGCACGAGGAGGGGAGGAGGAGGAACACGAGGAGGAGGGAGAAGGAGGGAGGAGGAGGAGGGATGTGGACATGAACGAGCACGCCGCCGCGCGCTGCACGTCGTGAGCGCAGCGCCCGCTCGCCCGCGGCAGGCCGCCCCGCGGCGCTAAAGCGCTGGGCTGGACTTCGAGTTCCTCCTCCTCCTCCTCCTCTTCCTCCTCCTCCTCCTCCTCCCTCCTCCTCATCCTCCTCCTCCTCCTCCTCCTCCCCTTCCCCCTCCTCCTCCTCCTCCTCCTATCCATCCATATCCTCATTATAAAATAACTAGCCATGGGTGCTCACACCCCAGCTACGCTCGAGCCCAGCCCCCCCCCCCGACAGAAAGCGAAGCGGCGCCAGCGGCGCCGAGCGGGCCGAGCACGAACTCAGCCGAGGAACGAATGCGTGGCCCTGGAGGCCTGCTTCGACTCCGCAGCGAACTGGAAGTCGTCGAAGGAGGTGCGCTTCCTGTAGCAGGCGCCCTTGTTCGCCGCGTGGAAGGCCTGCTCGTCGAAGTCGGTGGCGTCGACCAGGATCGGCACCTGGTACTTGAACTCGCCCGCACTCCTCGTAGTGATGACCACCGTCTTGTGGACCACCTCGTGCGTTGCCACGACCCTGGCGGTCTTGGCCTTCTTCTTGGCCTGCTGCTGCTGCTCATCCGCCTCGGTCACGTCCTTCTCCTTGGCCATGATGGCGACGAGGTAGGGCACGCAACACTTCGAGTTCAATCCAGTCTCGCCCGAGCCGTCCAGGTACAACCTCAAGCCCCTCTCGCCATCGCCCAATGAGAATGTCGTAGATCGCGTCAGCCTCCTGGCTGTTGTCTCTGTGACAACTTTGCCCCAGAAAGGCAGGGAGCAGCCACCAGACCCCTCCCTGATGAAACTCGGCCTCTGCACAACTGTCGAAGATGCGTCGGCCTTCTTCGCGACGATGTTGCAAGCCACTGCACCGCCATAGGCATCGAACACTAGCCCCGAGAAGTGGATATTCAGCTTGGAGATGACCTCCTTGATCTCTGCCTCGCTGAAGCCATTATCCTCTCTCTCGAGCCTCGCGTGGGTGGCCCACCACTCGTGGAGCTGGACAGTCTCCTAGGCGACTGGGCTAGTCGATAAAACAACCACTTGGAAAATGCATCACGACCTGCGATGCACCTCCAAGTAGACGCGGTGTATCGACAAGGCCCAGTCTCCTCGCGAGGCGGCTGCTCCTGCTGCCGATTTGCGTCCTCATCGGCGCTGACGATCGCAGTCCCCATGTCCACGTGCTTGGAGCTCCATGCTGCGACCACGCTCTCCATCGGCTGCTGCAGGATCTGCCAGGCACTCTTCTGGGAGGAGTACGTTTTACCAAACTCGGTCATCAGCATGTCGATCGTGGCGTTCTTCACGGCGGGGAACACGTCGGCCTTCTGCAGCTCGGTGTCTTTAGGCAAGACAGCGGTGGACATGCCAACTTTCTGCAAGGCCGTCTTCCAATTGATGCTGGCAGGCCCCCCTGTCACGAGGCTCGCCTTGAACTGCTCCGACATGGACTGGTAGCGCTGGCCATCGTGCTTCAGGCAGTAGTCGTGCTGACTGAAAGCCTCGCCCATGAAGTCGGCCATGGCGCCCTGAGGGAGCGAGGGCAGGCAGGACAGAAATGAAGTCAGAAGGGAAGCGTGCGATGATGCACCATTGGGCGGGCCCGAGGGCTTCGGGCCCATCCAGGTACACCGGGTACCGGGTGGGGGAGGAGCAAAGAACAGAGAGGAGGGTAGGGGCAAATGGTTCATATGTTATATCTGCTGCGCTGTCCTTGAAGCTCTCCTTGCTCGCCATGGCATTGGTGAGCTGGCGAATCTCGCGAGGCATGCCACCCTCGGCGTGGCATGTTTTGTCGACGATGCTCTTGTTGATGAGAACCAGCAGCGACTGGATGAACGTGGCGACCAAGGGCGGGATGTACGGCATGTGTTCCACAGTCGGCCCCTGGCTCACAGCAGTCATTTGAACACTGTAGATACTGATCAGGTGCAGGAAAGCTTGGAGCCTCATGGCGTTGAAGGTGTCCCTCGTAACTTCTTCTGTCAACTTCTTCGCATCAGTAGTCGTCAGCACACCCTGCTTCGAGTGCTTGCGAACCACGTCGATGAAATCCATGGCCGAGCCGAACGAATCGCTGAATATGTCCTGGTGGACATCGCAAGTGAATCGAACCAGCGCCTCGAAGCACTCCTTCTGGCTCGTCCAGGGACTCGCCTTCGCCTCGCACGCGGTGAAGAGCTTGTTTGTCAAAGTCAAGCTGGCCTCCACTATGGCTCGATTCGCATTCGGAGGCCGCTCGAACACCTTGTTGCCGTCGATGTACTTCAGGAGCTCCTTGCAGCTGGTGCAATTCGTATCCTCCAAATCGCGAACATAGGAGTCGGTGATGGACTTGGGCTCGATCTTGCCATCGCCCTGCTTGAACAACTCGTTCTCCACTGCATCGAGGTCGCCCATTGGGAAGTCCTCGTCCGAGATCCTGGGCTGGAGCCTCCTCTTCTTGCAGATATACAGGGTGAAGAGCTGGCGAGTGACCACGATGCTGTTGCTCTTCTTGCGCCTGCCAGCAACGCAGTAGACCAGTTCCTTCTTCTTGTAGGCGAGAGTGGAATAGATTACTGCGCGAAAGAAGCAATCTGCCATGTCCCCAGGCTCAGGTGCCGACCTTTCCAAAGCGTTGAAGCCGAGCTTCTGCTTCTCCAGCACCTTCCAGAACATCTTCTTGTCGCTGTCGCTGAACGTGATCGCATTATGCTCGCTGTTGTTCGGGTCGCGTCCGAGGGCCGACTTGCCTCTCGCCGCCTTCGCCTTCTTCATCGGGACGAGTTTCGTCTTCGGAGTCTTGGCCGCGGCCGTGCCACAGTTGCCCTTCTCGATGCTGTCCATTGTCTTCGTCCCCGACATGTCCCTGATAAGCTCCTTGATGTTGTTTTCCTGCACCTCGTCGCTTCGCAAAACTGGGATGCCATCGGGGATGAAGGTGCTCACGAACTTGAACTTGCCATCACGAGGGAATCCCAACATGGCTATCTCGACGATAGCCTCGGGGGCATCACGCTTGAGAATCCTCATGGCGTCTGCGACCAGCTTGAACCAGAACTTGTAGTTCGCTGGGACCAGGGCTGCACCATCAACCTCATCTTTGTATCGCTGTGAGATGGCCTCCCAGATGGTGGACCCTGCATGCCGCCCAGACTCGATCTTAATAGTGTTCGCATCCTTGTAGAAGGTGCTGCAACGCTCGTACTCAGGGTACCTGGCCCACTCGTAGTTCTCGGACATGTTGTTGACCAGCTGCAGCTTCTCCTCGTCGATCTGCTTCTGGGTGTGGGAATCCTTCGTGATATGCTTGCCGTCTCTGTGGCGGACCCAAGCTGCCTCGTACACCGCGCAGCCGTCCAAGATCTGCAAGGGGGTGGTCGATGTGATATCGTCGTTGCCCTTGTTGTACCAATGCACTAGGAACTTGGCACAGTCCCTCGGGAGACTCCGAAGGTACAGTGTGCAGCCAGGGATATCCATCAAAAGCGAGGCTTGCACTAGTCGGTTCTGTTTGCCCGCATCAGCTTTCATAGCCTCGTTGAGCCCCTCGAAGAGGGCGCCCCACGACAACGTCTGGAACTCATCGTCTTTGGCCCCGTCGGCATGCTGAACCAGCACAGGTGCCGATCGCCAATCGAGCCGAAGTCCAAAGGTTTCGACCGACGTTCGCTTCCTCTCGACTGAGCCCTTGTCGCCCCTGAGGCAATTCTCGGCGTGCCTCGCGAGCGCGAACATGCCGGCCTTGGTAGTCGGCTTGATGGTGTGGTTCGCGCTCACACGAAAGTTGTCGTTGACCCACTTAAGCATCTCCACGTCGCTCCAGTTTGCCCCGAGCCTATCCTTGATGTGACGGAAGCAATCCCGTCGGTCGTCGCACCGAATCTCTCGGATTTGGCCACCCTGGCCCTGCTCCATCGCAGGCACCAGCGCCATAGTCGCTACTGTCGCTCCACAGTGGAGCCTCCGCTGTTCGAACAAACCTCGCAATGTAAGATGCTCGTCGCCAGCGCGAGCACTGCAGGAGCCGAAACGGCTACAAGGAGGAAGAGGAGGATGATGAGGCGGTGTCAATGCTGATACTGATGATGCAGTGATGATGCTGATGCTGATGGCGGTGATGATGCTGATGATGTTGATGCTGATGGCGCGGTGATGATGCTGATCCCTCTCCTCCTACTCCACCACAGTGGAGTTTCCCCAGGTCTCCTCAGTTTCCCCAGCTCGGGCCTCTGTGCTGAACCTATAATGGGTCCTTTTCGGGGCACCTCTGCTGAACCTATTTGTTTCCTGACGAAATCGTGGCGCGACGGACGAGACATGCTTCGCACTCGTGAAAACACGTGGTTTTCAACCAAACATGGGGTGTGCAATTCTGGGCCGCTTGGACCCCAAAATTGCACATGGCGCTTTCCTACGTTCAATGTATGAATTTATAGCATTTCCACACCCGCGGGAGGCGTAGGAACAAATATCGTCGCGAAACCCAAAGTCGGGGCTTGGAAGTGGGGAAGGACGCTGAAGGGCGATACTCAGGCAAATTTTTGAAATTTGCCTGAGCATCGCCCCTCAGTGTTTTTCGCCCCCGACGCTGGCCCCCCGCCGTTCGCGAAAACGCTGAAGGGCGATACTCAGGCAGATTTTTGAAATTTGCCTGAGCATCGCCCCTCAGTGTTTTTCGCCCCCGACGCTGGCCCCCCGCCGTTCGCGAAAACGCTGAAGGGCGATACTCAGGCAGATTTTTGAAATTTGCCTGAGCATCGCCCCTCAGTGTTTTTCGCCCCCGACGCTGGCCCCCCGCCGTTCGCGAAAACGCTGAAGGGCGATACTCAGGCAGATTTTTGAAATTTGCCTGAGCATCGCCCCTCAATGTTTTTCGCCCCCGACGCTGGCCCCCCGCCGTTCGCGAGGAGGAGGAGGAGGAGGTGGAGGAGGAAGAGGGGCCACATTTACGCCGGCGCGAATGTGCAATTTTTCGCCCGAGGAGGAGGAGGAGGAGGAGGAGGAGGAGGATAGGGAGGAGGAGGAGGAGGCGGCGGAGGGCAACAATCACCATGACGCACGAGGACGAAGCAAAATAAAGGCAGGGCGGGAGCATCGACGCTGATCCCTGCCTGCGCGTGCCTCTCGTTAGCACCAACTGTGACGATGCAGTGCAACGCATTGCTGCCAAAATGGCCTTCCGAACAAGCCCCCCACAGGGTGCGATTTCCAGCCAGCTGGAAATCGGCATCTTGATTTCCAGCCAGATCGTTACATAGCTGGAAATCAGCATGCCGATTTCCAGCTGGCTGGAAATCAGCTCCTGAGGCGCCCTATTTTTTAGCCAATGGCGAACGCCTCTACATCACCTTCCCCACTCTATGTTTATTCCATCCACCCCTCCCATCTACCGTGTAACCAATGATCGACCACTACTTTGCCACACCCAAGTGCCATCTGGTAGGTCATACACCGTCCACACCACCATCCACCCCCTATCTGCATTGTCGTTGTTTTTGTTGTGTGATCTCACTTTGTTGTTCGTGTATGTTGTGTCTTTGTGTTGTTATTTGGTGTTTGTTGTTTCTTTTGTGTTTTTTCTCACTGCTTCTGCTTGGCAGCACAGAACTCGCACAAGAAGGAATGCGGTTTCGGATGGGCGTCACGGCCCTCGCCATGTCCATCCGTGTGAAGCGAGGCGCCCGTCGTCACAGCATCGCACTTGGCACAATCTTCGTGCCACGAAGTCAAGCACATGTAACAAACAAACAAATCTGTACTGGATACACCAGCAAGCTGGTCCACACCAGCTGCCCGAGCAGCTTCGCAAACAACGCAACTTGCATTCTGAGCAGGTAGCGAATCGACCATCCATGGGCCACCAAATACTTCTATGTCTACCAAGAACTTGCATCGCACTGCCCATGCTGGCATGCAATGTGTCTCTCCCAACTTGTACTTCCCACGAGATTGTATCCCACCAGTTCTTGAAATCAATATCTCTGACTCTGCATGGTTCACCTCAGGGACACTGGCAGCAACAATAGTCTTAATGCGATTACGTCTGTCCAGACTGGTTCGCCTGCCCATTTTCGCAACAACTACCCTGGTCCAATAAAGGTATAGAGTCTCCCCATCCTTCGTTCGTACAAGGCTAATGTCTTCATATGCTCGCACTGGTAACTTCCTGTTGTCAGCCATCTGCTTCCATAGCCCACGCACCTCGGCGAAACCTTTCGCCACAAGAGAAGCAACATCTGCAACAATCCCGACCGCCCGATCTGCAGCTATATCAAGAGGCATGTGTGATGTCATGGGCGCTGGGCCAGGGCCAGGGCCTTCTGGCTGCCCAGGCTCTGGCTCCAGCAACTCGTCCATCGGCTCGCGAAGTTCTCCTCCCTCGTCCATGTCGCCAGCACACACGTCATCGGCCACGCCCGCAGGGTCATCGTCGCCGTCCAACACGTCGATGCCCATTTCCAGTAACTCAGTGAGACCCTGTTCCAACCCGTCGCCATCATCGTGGTCCCCGCCATCATGGGGCACTGGTCCATCAGGCTCAGGAGGCCCAGGCCCACCCTTAGGCTTAGGCTGCCTAGGGGCCCTGGCTGGAGCAGGCTTCACTTTGAAGTGTTTCCGATCGGCTAGTTCCAGACTAGGCGTCGCCATTGAAGTCCATGCAACTGGGCATCTAAACACCGACATCTCGACAGCGCCCAATGGATCTGCACGAGCAAGAAGCATGGCGATGACACCTTCCGTCAGCATCTCTGTCCGCACAGAATCTTCAAACTTGAAAGTAAACTGACCTGGGTGAGTCTGCTCAACAACGCCATGCGCAACAAACTGTCTGGAATAATACGACCAGCAAATCAGGAACACAGGCGACCCCACAGCGAACTCCCTCCAGCTCCATGCGAACTCAAGACCAGAACCACAAACCACCTTGTTGACGAGTGTATTCTCGAGACGCACCGCTAGTGCATCGACATCACGAGCATAGTCTCCATCAAGTTGTCTTGTAGCCTCCCTTGGCACTGGGGCAACACGTGCCAACCACCTGTTGGCATGCTCCTGCGTCCCCATGAACTGCACAACCTGTGCGTGCAACTCAACTGCCTCTTTGACGCTGATAGAATCGCCAATCTTGTTCCTCAGTCTGTCCGAAACCCCAGGAAGTTTGGATCGCACCCCTCGCTTGGCTATAGATTGCAATACTGATATATGCCCCTCAACAGATTGGTTTTGATATGGAAGGCGCGCCCTATACAGTAAGAGAAACGCATAGAGCGGTACAGGGCAACGCCCAGTATCTTGAGCAACTCGCAAACTGTCGAAATACCAACGCTTGAGCTTCAGAGGGACGTCAGTAAACATTGCACTCGGCACCCCGTCAAACTTATCATCAGGTGTCTCCAGAAGTCGCCTAGCTATCACCTTCCTGCGGTCGTCGGGCTCGTCGTGCTCACTCTCTAGCATGGCCACGATAGAAAAGTGGATGTCGTCAAACACTTTCTCGAAACGAAAGTCCCAAGATGCCACCAACACCAAAAGTAAAGATACGATGAGCTGCCTCCCACGCTGGAAGAGATGATGAGGCAGGGTATCCCACACCGGTTTGAACGCACAGTGTTCATCAAGCAAAAGCTCTACCATTTCGTTTCGAATATCGATCCGCTTCGCAGAAACCAGAGATGACAATGGCGTTGGCCCGAGGTATGTTGTGCCAGCTCGCTTGGCCTCGTCGCATGCAGATGCGTGTTCTTTGGAAGCCTTTTTCAACCCACAGCTGAAAATGAACCAATGGTCGCCGAGTGATAGAAGATATAAACACCATTGCCATAAATGTATTGTTCTGCGTCAACTTCGCTGAGAGGCGTCTGACAGACCTCTGCTTCTGTGCGAAATCCTCGTCCTCCTGTTGCCCTGGGTCGTGTTTTTTCTTTCGCGGAGGTGTTGGATCCACAGTTGGATGATCCACATCTGCTATCGGCGCTGGTTCCTTTGAACCACAATAATAACCCCACAAACTCCCAAACACCTTGCCGATGAAAGGTGATGATTTGCAAATGAGTTGTTCCACAGAGTCGATGGAGAGCCAGCGGCCTCGAAGGCAACGCCCAGGGATAGCAGAGAAAGACTGCACTGCCACTGCGCTCGAAAACGCGTTCTCTGCTGCCCTCTTGATTTTCGATGGGGCCCCAGGTGATCTCCACTGGTTAGCTATGTTCGACACTCCATTGAAATATGTGGTAGCAGGAATTTCGTTCACACTTGCACCCTCCCATTCCCAATTATCGAGAACCTTGATCATGGCCTTTGCGACAAGCTGCGCTCGATGGAGCAGGCAAAAAGACCACACATACATGACAGAAGGGCAGTCGCGCAATGAACTCTTGACTCGGCGAGCCATGCCAATATTATCTGGCCCAGCATCTGTGCCAAAACAAAACACTGCAGGCCCAATGCCAACGCCGCCTGCCTGCGAAGCCAGACGTGCAAAGTCTTCCCACGTTTGAGCTCCTACGCTCTTGAGCTCAGAAACCACTAAGTTGTACGTCTCGGCCCCAGTGGAGTGGTGAACAACTTGGAGATCACCTGCTGTTTTCACGGTGGATACTTCGCCCGACAATGCCGAAACATCTAACACGCCATTCTCTGAAACCACAGCCTCGATAGACTCCTTGGAAACTGTAGAAGATGTGAATATGCTCACATGAACTTTTTCTTTCTCAACTGCCTCCTGCTGCGACCCGTCAAAGCAACACTCGATGAAATTTAAATCAGACAGTGCCAAACCAGCGTGTTGCTCTCGATGCCGCGCATATTTTGCCAGAGAAAGGTAATGCTCGAACCTGGAGACAGTGTGGGAGTCGCTCACACCCCCTTGGTGGGCATCGCCAGCCACCATCGCACACGTCGTAGAAAGAGAAGCACAACCAAGAGTTTTCTTTACAGCCAAAGTGTAGCCACCGATTAAAC